GCAATAAGTCTAGTACCCACTTGGCATTATACATAGTTATTACAATATTATCGACTGTATTCCCTATACTGTACTTTACATCCCCGTGACCATTTTGTAACTACCAATTTATACGTCTTAATCCCTTCACCTTTTTCATCCTGCCCCCCCCACCTCCCATCTGGTAACCATCAGTTAAACAAATGTATTTTTAACTTCAAATATTTACAGGTAGATTTCATTTGGAATGCTTTAAAGACCTCATAAAATCTAATTGATTGTAACTTATTTAAAACCCCAGCACTTAGATTTAAGAAAAGTGTTTCTTACCTGTATGGAAGGCTGATTACTAGTCTGTAATGTTGATGACTTTGCCTATGAATACAAATGAAAGTGATTTAGCTTTGACAAATAAAAAAAAAATAACCAGTGATTTTTCAATTTCCTATCTTAAAAAAACTGAAATATTAGTTTATTCTCTTTTTCTGCTAATTATGCTTCAATTATCCTGAAACCCATATTGACCAAATGACAAGGTCCCTAAAATTACTAGCCAAATAAATGCCTCTGATATTTTATATTTTATAGTTCAAATTTTAAAGAATTATCAAAATAAAACCTCAAGTTAACCTAACCCATTACTTCTTTTATATCCTTATTAACTTACCTAATCAACTTTTCTCATTCTTTAATTTCCATACAAACCACCAATTTACAAACACATTTGAGAACNAAAAAAATTAACTTGCAAAATGTGGGGTATGGTGTGATAAGAGAAGAAAAATTACAGAAGGGAACAGATAAGGGACTAGGCATAAAATCATGCCTTTGCCCTGGCCCGCTGCTCTGGCCGAACTGCAGGGCCCTTTCCCCTCCTCAGAAGCCCGGGCCTGCCTTCCTGGGTCAGGCCCATCTTCCCCACGCTCCATGTGAAGAACGATTCTCCTGAGGTCCTCCCCACCCCCATGCAGTTTTTACTGATGGCTTCTCTACTGAGAGCTCAGTACTTCGGAGAACTCAAATTTATGAATCTGGGCAGACCGATAAAGAAAAGTAGTTAGAAAAAGTAATAGATTAAGCGTCGCCTTTTGGACTTAACAGGTCTGCTTTCAGTATTTAACTCATGGATAATTTTCATAGTAGATTATCAGGTTAGGTAACTGGGGTGAGATGGCACCACAAGAGGCTATTCTTTCAACAGTCTGCAGGTATTGTTCTTCGTATCACATACAGAAAGAATGTTTTTCTGATCCACTGCAGAGCAATGAGAAATCTCTTTTACTTTTAAATTTATATTGTTCTATACTGGAAAAAAAAATCAAGCAGCGGACCTTAAGTATTACCTTTAATGTCAAAAAAAAATTTTTTTAAAGCTTACCACAAATAGCCAGTTATCTTACATATGCATAGGACTACTTTAGTGTGTCTGTCTGTGTCAGATGCATATTTATTAGATAAAATGAAAGCTTTTCCATGTCATGTGGTACTTAAGTTTGCCATCCTGCCAACAGTGGCCATTCAGCCATGCATTTAGCACGTATTTACTGGAAGCCTACTACATGCCAGACACTGTCCTAGGGGATGAGGTACAGGATAGTCCCTATTCTGAGTAGGGAACACCCTCTTCTGCCCATACTTTTCCCATCCTAACAGGATTTCTACATCTTTTTCTTCATCTCTAACACAGATGTGTCTCCTCCAAAACATACACACAGCTATCTTCATTCCTATGTCAGATTAAAAATTGTTAAACCCTCTCAGATTAAAAAATGCCTAAATCCACTCAAGGCCAAAATTTATTTCCAAATGAAATATGGCTCTATCTCTAACAACAGTTAATTTGTTACATATATAAGCAAATAATACATAAAAACACTATATCTCACCAAAATGCAGTTGCACAGTGCTAAGTAATTTGCAATTTGGAAGGACTAAACACCTAACATACAGTGGAAAATTTGATGAAGTTTCAATAACAAAGCAGAAAATTTAAATAGTAAGTTACATTAAAAAAAAATAATTTTAGAAAAACTGCAATTTTTGTTTACTTCTAAAGCAAAGTACTATTTTGTTTTTTCCATCTTTAAAGAAGTGACAAGCTGCTCCGACCTTGAACATACAATAAATTATTAACCAAAGTAAGCTTTGGTTTTTTTTTTGTCTTATGCTAAATTTCTCTTCCCTCCAACTTCCCATTTTGTACAGAAAACATGAAAGGGAACCTAGAAATGCATTGCAAAATCTGTAAACATCTGCCTTTAGCGCCACTATTCCTGCAGTAACACAAATCTAGTGTTACTAACATGTTAAAAATAAAGCTTTGGTTCTTTTTCCCTCCTATTATCAGGGAAATCAGAATTTAAAATACCGTATAGCACTAAACCCAACCATCACAGGAGTAATGTAAAATGTGTGAATGAAGAAAAGAATGGATTTAAATTAAGGTCTACACCTTAGGTAAAATAGCACATACACACGTGGATTAGAAAGGGGGTAAATAATACTGAGAAAGCAACTTATGCTTCTGAAATACCACTCAAGTTTTTTCAAGTGGGCAGATATTGTCCAAGAACATTAAAGTACCAGAAAACTTATTTAGTTTATTTATGAACATAAATCAAACTGTCTTAACATAAGCAGAGAACAAAGAAGGCTGAAACAATTCACCTAATGTCACATGTATTTAGTTTCTCTACTATTAAGTATTATAATTGGAGCACCTACACTAATGTGCTGAGACTCCCTTTTACATCAGAGAAGGGTAAATGTTTGGTTTTTGCTTTTGTTATCAAATGTATTAATTAGAAACTTGGGTTCTCAAGTAGAGGAACAACATACCTGTAATTATTTAAACTGGTAAATTTTTTAAAATGTGCTTCTACTCACATATTTAAGAAAGCACAATCTCATTATCAAATACCCTATTTCTTTTTCCCATCTGTGTCACTTAATGGGAAATGGTGACAAAACACNAAAAAAATACCATAGCTGTCAATTTAAAATTTTAAGTGATGTTCTTGTTAAACAAAGCAGTTAACAGTATATACTAACTTACATCTTTACTTGTATATATATGAACTGTGTGTAAAGTGCTTTTTAAACTATAAAATAAGACTTTGGAATAGGATACAAATGGTTATCCCTAAGAGTTAGTTACCTCCGACTACTTGTAATGAATCACAACTGCTTACATTCTTAATTTGCATTTTATTTCTTTATATACTAAGAGAAAAGCTACCATTTTCTGATACCCGATACCTAATTTTTAAAAATAATCCCTGATCCACAGGTTTAAACTTTATTTTTACATATAATTCAGTTACTTGTTTCATTTTTTTCCCTAAATACTTAAAGGACAGTTTTTAGAAAGCAAGTATTAGTAGATCCCTTTAGACAGACACATTTTAATTCAGATGGGATTAAAAAATAAAAAAACATGTTACATGAAAGAAAAAAATAAGAAAGAAAAGAGTCTTGGGAAAAGCAAATTGTATTCTTATAGTTTTTTTTCAGGCAAACAAAGAACCACTCTCTATACTAGGGGTCGATTACTTTTTCCTATCGAAAACACTTTGAACATATGATACTAAACTCAACATCATACATACCAAGAATGCTTAAAAATTATTTGCTACTCTGCCTGTGGATCAGAGAAAATTTTAAAGTACAAGGGACATCTAAATGAGCAGGGAGTTTTAGAAGGCATACAGGGAGAATAATTCCAAACAAAGCCTTCAAGGATCTAAATTACAGTCTTCTTTTTAGTTTGAATGTGGGAGAGACACTTAAATTTACATTAGTTGGGTATGCCTTATTCATATGGAAGCATATAGCCTGCTAGCTTGCAAATCCTTTTAATATCCCTGTGAAATAGATAGTTCTCAAACACTATACCCTGAAGGAAAAACAGGCACTAAGAGGTTAAGAATCTAGTCTATGTAGTTTACCAGTTGCAGAAAAGTGATTTTCATATGTTTCATTTTTGACCTTTGTAAAAACAGTATAAATAAGTTTTTTCATGTTATAGTTCAAAGCACCCTATGAAGCAGAAACAAGATATCCTCAGTTAAAGACAAATTATTACAAAGGAATAAATGTAAATGATCGAATAAAAATCTTATTAATGATTTGCAGGCTCAGAATAAACTTTCAAACCAACTTTAAGCTTATTCTTCATCATTTGCATCAGCAGGTTATGCCTACTCTGTGAATCATTTGTAAAAACTAAGCCTCATAAGATTATTCAAGTATCAGCAAGGCTCTACTTTATAATAATGACATCTGAACATTAAAAGTCAGAGCTCTGAACGCCCAACAAAGATTATGAGCAGCCCACAAAGTGGATGGGGAGAAGATTCTTCCAGCAGTTTTCTACTCCTTGGCATGGCAATTCAGTGACTAAAATATAAAGTCAATTTAATCTCATTTGAAATTCACTCCTGGTTTGATTCTTTCTCACATTTAATTTACAAAATTAAAAATACCCAGTTATAAATCTGATCTCATTATCACAACTGTACCTAAGTTAACTTATATTTCTCTATGGGAGATAATCAGGTAAACATGTTACCAAACAATAATTAATAATTTAATGTCCTTCAAGTTCAAGGGTAAGGTAAATCTATGTATGCTACTTATAGCCTAGTTGAAATTGATTATTCAAGTATCAGCAATATTAGTCCTTAAAATGTTATCATTTGTGTAGTGCAAAATATATATGTATATATATACACAAACCAATCTACTGGACAACAAAAAGAAATGTAATAATCACAAACTAAGATTTTCTTGTGAGCTCCACAATCCATTTCATTCCGAGGTCAGCCAGGCCCAGTAGTCTTCTTGAGTAAAATACCGTTTTCTTCAGTTCAGTTTTCTTTAAAAAGAAAGTAAAAACCAATTTTCTATGAATAGAAATGCAACCTGAATATAAAACACATATCATATCAAAGAATTCTCTGAATTATATAACCACAATATTCAATTTCAAAATAAAACCATAAAATTTCAAATAATCCTTATGAAATTACTTCATGTGACTTACAGCTCAATAGGAAAGATCCAATTGCAAGTGCTAACATTATCAAATAGTTTTTAATAAGTAATTTAAATGTACATTTCTCCACTTGTTGCTTCTAAATTCTCATCCTTTCCTAGTTCAGATTTTTGCAAATTAGTCTGGAATTTTATCAAAATGGAAAAGCTGTGTAACAAAAAAAAACTTAATAAAACTACAAAAGGTTGATAGATATACAATCTGGACTAGCCATTAAATCAACAGATGTTATGTATCTGTTGCTTTTCAGGCACTGCGCCGGGTATTGGGGATTCAAACGTAAATGAGGCAGGCTCTCAGGCCTCAAAAGAGCTCTACT